TGAGCCAGAGCGAGTCCCCGCCTCTAAAAAGCGGGTGGTGTGGAAGTCGCCTGTAGTCTCAGCTACTCTGGAGGCTGAGGCAAGAGAATGACTTGAGCCCAAGAGTTTGAGGTTGCTGTGAGCACTCTACAGAGGGCGACAAAGTGAGCCTCTGTCTTAAAAGACAAAAAAGAGAGAGAGAGAGAGAGAGAGAGAGAGCTGGAAGCAAGAGAAAGGAAGATGGAAGGAAGAGGGTTAAAGGAGCTGGAGAAGCACATGCCATTCCAGAGAAAGCAAGGAAGAATTCCAGCACTGAGGTCCAGTGCGTAGCTAAATTTATCGGGGAAAAATACAAAACAGTAATTGCAGGCAAAATCACAAGGTATTGTGATTGTGAGTGCCGTGTCCATTTTTTTCCTCAGGCAAGGTTGCAGATCGACGTTTTTCCAGGTATTCCCGGTCCTTAAGGCCTGATTGTTCATCCTACAGCTACTCTCAGGAAGGAGTTGAGACTTAAAGGAACGAATTCTAAAAGACAAAGGAGCTGGGGAAGTAAAGAGAATTGACATTTCCTTATAGTCTGTTGGGTTCCTCAATGGTTTGTGAAAATAGAAATCCACAGGGGTGGCGGTTGGGGTGCGGCTAGCACGTAAAGAAAGCAGGCTGAGCCATTTTAATCCTTACTGAAAAACTATGAGTTAATAAGTTTTCTATTATTTCCTTAGACTAAATACGAATGAAATCCAGAGTTTGCAACAAAATGTCACTTCTGCTTTTCACTCCGAAAGTTAAAAGAAAAATGAGGAGGGCTTTTAAGTGACAGCGTAAGTGCTGGCATCACAAGTGGAACACAGGATTTTATATTAGAAGAAATAACGAGATGTGGGCGGGCAGACTAACAGCAATGTCATAAACACAATAAACATAAATCTTCTAAAGGCTTAAGGTGGCAGTTAAGCCTTTTAGACATCTGATTGATACAGGCAGTTTTGTTAGAGGCGCGGTTTCGTTGTCATCAAGGCTTCAGGAGACAGCTGCCACCAACAGCTCTAGGTCTCTTTTTCCCACGCAGGGCCACCTCTGACGCGCCTGGCCACGCCCCCTCAGTCTCGTCAGCCGAGGCCCGCCCCTTCCATCTCCTACTTCCTGATAACCATGTTCCTTTGCGCCACCTTCTAGGGACCTGATTGGCTGATGTTGCAACCGCTAACGGCTGCAGAGTTTAAACCTGAACCCCGGCGTGAGCTCCGCGCTGAGCTCCCAGAGCTAGGTGGGGGTGCCCCACGCCCAGATAGGGGTAAGTCGGTGACCTGCGACATTTGGTGTGGCCACTCCCTGTCTGGCAGGACCTCTGCCTTTCTTGAACTAGACCTCTCGGCTTTGTCCGCCTCGGTCGTCCCCCGTCTGCCCTTCACCCTCCCGGCACCCGGACCGCATCCCCTTCTCGCGCTCCGAGGGGTTGGCGGAGTTTCTGTTTTTGATTTGAGTCGCTGCCTTCTGTCTCCGCGATTTGAACACCCGACTGGGCTGGGACGGGGGCGAGCCCCTGATTAGAAGGTCAGTTCCTTCAGGGAAAGGATTTCTGTCTTGACTATTCTACTCTCTGGTTCTGGAATAGTTTCCAGCTCATTATGAACGGTCGGGAAATATCTCGGAATGCATGTTAGGGACTGCTTGCTGAAGCTCATGAGGGGCCCTCTCCTTTGGATTGCTGGTTTATTAGAGAGACTGGCTGCTGACGAAGGGGTGATGGAAGACGGAGGGAGAACTTAGAACTTTAGATCTTCTTGATGTACAGGTAGGATTTTGGTAAAGTATAGGGACAACGATCTTTCTAGATGAGGAATTTGATTTAGGAGAATTGAATGTGGTACTGATTTTTTCATATTTAGAGACAGCTGGACAAGAGCTATAGAGTAGTAATAAATAGGTGATATTGAGTGTTACATTACAGGTCACTGTAGATATTGGATCATTTAGTCCCTACAAGGAGATGTCCTTGTTTTCTGTCATTTTATAAATCTGAAAATGGATATTTAGAGATGTTAGGATCACATAATTAGAAAGTGCTGGGGGCTCCAACACCGTGATAGCTACTGTTTATAATTTCTTGGTGTCTGCATGGCTCCCACACAGTTATAACTACTGTATATAATTATAATGCCTTGGTGTCTACATGGTTGTCTACATGGTAAGTCACCCTAAAAGGGTACTTTGAAGTCCTGGTTCTGGCTCCATAAGTGTCACTTGGTGAGGTCATTAATATGAGGAGTGATTGGCAATGTTAAGGAAAATTCTCTGGTTTATGGCATGAACATTTGGATGGGTGATTGATAGTGCCATTTATTAAGTTAGAGAACTGTGTACCGACCAGTTTATTGGGGAGGGAAGTTCAGCTGTGGTTTCCTAATTAGTAAAATGAGATTTGATATTTGTGACTGTATTCTTGGGAGATGGACTAAGTTTCTATGTGAGGATTTCCTTTAGATGTGTGAAATGGTGTTTCTTTTGTTCCTATGTTCCACTATTTGTGGAATAGATGGTAATCTTTGATTTTAAAATTTCTTTTTGGCAAAACTTTTAGAAGAACCTTTGAGCCTTAATGTTGAAAGGTTCTTAGTTAACGTTTTCCCCACTGCAGCAATTTTTTTCTAAAGCTATCTTTCCATTATTTGCCTGACATCTTCCAACATCTACTCAATACTTGGAAAGGAGATCCATTCTTACTACTGTAAAGTTCTTCTATTCATCCATAGTCACTTCAACAAAAGTTTATGTAGTAGCTGCTATGTGACAGAGGCACGAAGATACAGAAGCAAATGTGGCAAAAATCCATAATCTGTTGAACTTGCATTTTAATAGGATAAAACAGATAATAAATAAGAAAATTATTCAATTTTATGTTAGATGTTGATGAATTTATAGAGAAAAATTAAACAGAAGAGGGAAATGGGAGCAGGTGTGCAGTTTTGAGTAGTTTGGACTGAGAAGGCTCACTAAGAAAGTGAAATTTGAGCAAAGACTTGAAGGAAGTGAGCAAGCCCAGTGGTCATTTGAAGTAAGAATTGATACAAAGGAAAAAAAGGCATACAAAGGTTTTGCACTACGAGCCTGTCAAGGTGGCCAGTGTGACTGGACCTTAGGAAGCAAGAGGAAGAGCCGTGAAAAATCAGAAATGTGCACTGATGGGGGATTGGGAAGGGGACAGGTGGCAAATTGTGTAGTACTTTATAGGCCATTATAAAGACTGAGGGGTGACATGAGTTTACTTAAGGTTGAAGAGGATCGGGTGGTGCCTGTGGCTCAGTGAGTTGGGTGCTGGCTCCATATACTGAGGGTAGCAGGTTCAAACCTGGCCTTGGCCAAACTGCAACAAAAAACTAGCCAGGCATTGTGGCAGGCGCCTATAGTCCCAGCTACTCAGGAGGCTGAGGCAAGAGAATCGCCTAAGCCCAAGAGCTAGAGGTTACTGTGAGCTGTGACACCGCGGCACTCTACCGAGGGCAACAAAGTGAGACTATCTCTTTAAAAAAAAAAGAAAGAAAAAAGGTTTAAGAGGATCACTTTGGTTGCTAGGTTGAGAACAGATTGTAGGGGAGAAAATGGAATCAGGAACATCATTTAGGTAGCTACAGCAATAATGTACACAAGAGAGAATGGCAACTTAGAGAAATAGTGGTAAGTGTACCAGGCGGATATGTTTTGGAAAGCTTGGCAAGCGGGATTGATGATAGAGCAAATGTGGGATGTGAAAGAATGAGAAATTTCTGACCTGAGCAACTGGAAGGATGGAGTTGTCATTAAGTGAGATAAGGACATGGTGGAGCAGGTTTGGGGGGCGGGGGCAGTTTAGGACATAAATTTGAGATGCAAAGTAGACATCCAAGTTGAAGAGGAGGAATAGACAGTTGAATGAATAATTCTAGAGTTCCAGGGAGAAATCTGGATTGAAAATATGAATTTGAGAGTCACTAGCATTCACATTTAAAAGCCAAAAAGCTGGCGACAGCCCTAAGGAATATAGATAGAAAAGAGATGAAGCTCAAGGACTGAGATCTGGGGTGCTCCAGGGGTAAAGAGTTAGAGAGATGAAGAATAACCAACAAGATACTGAGAGGAAGTGTCAGCAGGGCAGCAGCAAACCCAGAACAGTGTGCTGTTCTGGAAGCTAAGTGAAGAAACTGTTTCAAACAGGGAATGATCTGACATTAAATACTGTTTACAAATCAAGTAAAAGGAAAACTGGCCCTTGACTGCATTCGATTTAACAAAAAGGTAGTTTGGTGACCTTAATGAACATTTTCCATATAGTCATTGGTGACAGTAAAAATTTCTTTTTAGTGGATCAAGAGAGCCTGAGAGGGCTTGGCTCAAGCTGCTAAGGCGCCGGCCACATACACCTAAGGTGGCGGGTTCGAATCCCCAGCCCGGGCCCGCCAAACAACAATGACGGCTGCAACCAAAAATGGCC